CGGCGAGTCGAGCGAGTGTCACTTTCGTCGCTAGCTGCTCAGCCGAAAAAAGCAGGGGGGCGAATGTTGGTTCGAAGTAACTTGGAGAGTAACTTTGGGGTAAGGTTTCGGAACGTATGTCTGAGGTTACGCCTCATTCTACTTTCCACGCAGACCGCGCGTTCAACTCTCCCAGCACTTCAGGAACCAATCGCCATAACAGTTTTGTTTGGCTCGGAAACTCAATCGATTGGTCAAGTGCTTGGAGAAATTCAGTTCGGAGATTGCTCTCATTGGTTATCGTGCAGTGTAGGGATGAAAATTAATTGGCTTAGAATTGCGACACGTGCTAACATTTCGCCCGATAAAAGTGATCAAAAACAGTGACTGTAGCAATAATATGCATATCTCGTGTCAGATTTATATGACATAGCTACTGTAGGCTATAGTGGGGTAGCACATATGGGGTACAGTTTTCTAGGGTTTGCTTTTGTACCCAACTTTCCCTTAGTCAATTCATTTCCTCATTTCTTCACATGGTATAGAGCAGGTTCCCTAGTGGGAACGCTTCCTTGGGCCCACCACTGAAACCTTTTTTTTTTTTTTTTCTGACCGGAGCGACAGTCGCTCCTGCCCGATGCGCGCCTTGTGGGCCGCCCTTCTGTCGAGCTCTCTTAGAGGCCCCTCTCACGGCCCCTCGCGCCACCCTTAGCGGCCCCGTCGCCGCCCCTAGCGGCCCCGTTGCCGCCCTTCCAGGCCCCTTGCGGCCCCTAGCGGCCCCATTGCCGCCCCTACACGGCCCCGTAGCCGCCCCTAGCGGCCCTGTCGCCGCCCTTAGCGGCCCCGTTGCCGCCTCCCTCCCTACGCGGCCCCGTTGCCGCCCCTACGCGGCCCCGTCGCTGCCCCTAGCGGCCCCGTCGCCGCCCCTACGCGGCCCCGTCGCCGCCCCTAGCGGCCCCGTAGCCGCTCCCCTCCCTACGCGGCCCCGTCGCCGCCCCTACGCGGCCCCGTCGCCGCCCCTACGCGGCCCCGTTGCCGCCCCTAGCGGCCCCGTCGCCGCCCCTAGCGGCCCCGTCGCCGCTCCCCTCCCTACGCGGCCCCGTAGCCGCCCCTACGCGGCCCCGTCGCCGCCCTTACGCGGCCCCGTCGCCGCCCCTAGCGACCCCGTCGCCGCTCCCCTCCCTACGCGGCCCCGTCGCCGCCCCTACGCGGCCCCGTCGCCGCCCCTAGCGGCCCCGTCGCCGCCCCTACGCGGCCCCGTCGCCTCCTCCCTCCCTACGCGGCCCTGTCGCCGCCCCTACGCGGCCCCGTCGCCGCCCCTAGCGGCCCCGTCGCCGCCTCCCTCCCTACGCGGCCCCGTCGCCGCCCCTACGCGGCCTCGTAGCCGCCCCTACGCGGCCCCGTCGCCGCCCCTAGCGGCCCCGTCGCCGCTTCCCTCCCTACGCGGCCCCGTCGCCGCCCCTACGCGGCCTCGTAGCTGCCCCTACGCGGCCCCGTCGCCGCCCCTAGCGGCCCCGTCGCCGCTCCCCGCCCCTAGCGGCCCCGTCGCTGCCCCTACCCGGCCCCGTCGCTGCCCCTACGAGCTGCGCGGATCCAGTCGATCAACACCTCAGTGACATCACCCTTGCTGCGCAAGGGGAAGACTGTGGTGTAACGCGAGTAGTCGTCAACCACCAGCAGGAAGTAGCGCTCGTGACCCTGTCCACGGACGCGGGCCGGGCCCCACACGTCCATGTGAAGCGTCTGCAGTGGGGCCTCTGTCGGAGGAAACTGGGAGGAGTGAGGGGCAGCCCGCTGCCGCCCCTCGACACAGGGGACGCAGGTAGGGCCAGGCCCCGGAGGAAGGGGAGGGAGGGACCGGGGAAGACCAGAGACAAGGACACGGGAGGCCATGCCTCGGAGACGAAGCAGGGAGGGGTGACCAAGGCGGTGGTGCCAGAGGAGAGTCTCGTGAGACAGGAGGCGACACGAACAGGGGGCAGACTCAGGACCAGACCTGGACGCTGCAGCAAACACCTGACCCGACGCAGCTACCTGACCAGACGCAGTGACTGGAGGAGACGCAGTGGTCAGTGTGTACAGGCTCGACCCCGGCCGACGTGTAAACGTGGCCAGGTGTCGGCCTGTCCGAGCGTCCGTGCAGTGGGTCACCCACTGACTCGCAGGAGTGAACTGGTGAACCCCCGCATCCTGTAGGTCAGCACCACTCACCAAGTTCATAGAGAACGAGGGGAGGTAAAGACCAGACAGGGTGCCAGAGGGGGCCGCCGGACACGGGAGGACAGTGGAGAAGTGAGCAAGGACAGGACCCCCAGAGGGGTCTGCCAGGGAGACCGCAACCGGCCGACTGAGCGGCGTAAGCGTGGTGCGGTCTCGAAAGAAGGAGCGGGAAGCACCCGAGTCAAGAGTGAAGGTGTGTAAGGCCGGAGACGACGTGGTACCTGAGAGAGCAGACTCACCAGCACCTGGGGCAGCAGACGCACTAGCACCTAGAGCAGCAGCCTCACCAGCACCTAGAGCAGCAGCCTCAATGCCTAGGTCAGGCGGAACACACAGGTAACAGTCACCCTCATCACTAGTAGGCAATGCATACATGGCAGTGAGGATAGCATCATAGTCAAGAGTATAGATATCTACCCGCAGCCGAAGCAGCTCCACCCAGTCGGGGAGCTCAGCCGCGTCGCCAAACTTTGTACGACAGGCGTCGCTCAGACGGGCGAAGCAGCGGGACTCTGCGTGACCCAACGTCCCGCAAGGCTGACCAGTCCGAGCACCAGTGCGAATGACGTACGGACAGCGAGCAGTACCCCGTGACCCGTCACGCTGAGCGTACCACTCACGAAGCTGCTGGGGCGAAAGGACTGCTCGCGGACGACGCTGAAGCTGCACCTGGCCACTACAAGCAGCTGCCGAACTACTCACTCCAGGACGACTCCCACTACGGCCACCCCGACAACCCCAACTAGCGTACCACTCACGAAGCTGTTGGGGGGTGAGGGACTCACGCGGGCGACGCTGCAGTTGCACCTGGCCACTACAAGCAGCTGTGGAACTACTCACTCCAGGACGACTCCCACTACGGCCACCCCGACAACCCCAACTAGCGTACCACGCACGAAGCTGTTGGGGGGTGAGGGACTCACGCGGGCGACGCTGGAGCTGCATCTGGCCACGCCAGGAGCAGCAGTAGCAGTAGAAAGAGCAGCAGCAGTAAGAGCAGCAATAACAGCAGTACGGGCAGGGCAGTGCTCACCAGTGGCGAGAAGGGCAGGCGTACGACGGCGGCAACGGCGAGGCCGCTACCAGTGTAGAGCAAGAGCTCCGCGGCAGCTGCAGGGGTGGCTGCTCCAGGGGCGGCAGTTGTAGGGGCGACTGCTCCAGAGGCGGCTGCTCCAGGGGCGGCTGCTGCAGTGGCGGCTGCTCCGGGGGCGGCTGCTGCAGTGGCGGCTGCTCCGGGGGCGGCTGCTGCAGTGGCGGCTGCTCCGGGGGCGGCTGCTGCAGTGGCGGCTGCTCCAGGGGCGGCTGCTGCAGTGGCGGCTGCTCCAGGGGCGGCTCGGCTGCTGGGCGACTCGGCGGTTCAGCTGCTGGGCGGCTCGGCGGCTCACCCATTTGTCAGTTAACTTCACCCCTCTCTCAGTTAACTTCACCCCTTTTCAGTTAACATCGACCCTCTATCAGTCGCCTGTCTCTGACAGTCGACCTCACCTTTGTCAGTACTGGCACCGACACGCCTCTAACGGTCTCGTTGGTTGGTGTTTCTGTGAATCATGTGTGAGTGAGTGCACCTGCCCCACAACCGCATGTACCATCCATGTTCCCCCCTCCCTCCACGGCAGTCTGCTGAACAATAACTTGTTTTCGGGGTCGCTGGCTCCCCTCGCTGCTCTCTCCTCTCTCTACACCATGTGAGCAATTTTCTCCTCCCTCAGCAGCGTGTGAGCACTTCTCTCCTCCCTCAGCGAAATGTCAGCACCTATCTCACCCCCCATGCCTTGTCTGCACTTATCTCGGCATCTGTGCCCTGTCAGCAAAACAAACTCTTCTTCACCCAAAAGCCTTTCCCTCTCTCCATCTGCCGTTTTTGTCTCCCCATTGTCACGCGCAGATCCCTGTGCTGCAACCGCTTCAATGGGTCCATACCGTCCACCTTCGCCAGCAACCTCTTCAACGACTTGTACAACCCCTTGCTGCCACGCGCCATGTGCCATGCACCATGTACCATGCATGCCCCACGCCACGAGCTATGTGTCATTTGCCATGTGCCATGTGTCCATGTGCCATGTGCCATACGCCATACGCCATGTGCCATGTGCCATGCGCCATATGTTTAGAATCGTAGGCATGAGTAGGAGCCATAGCTAGGTAAGCCCTAGCTAGGCAAGAGAGAATAAGCAAAGGAGGATGTTCACTAGAAAGCAGCAGGATACATATGGGAAACCCTAGGGGGTTGTACTCGCTATAGAGTACCCCACTGCAGGCTAGAGAACAATAACATTCTGACAATATGTTATGCCATGAGCCATGTGCCATGCACCATGGACAATGCGCCATGCGTTATGTGCCACGCAAATGCCATGCAGCATCACATCCTCTTGATCAGCATCATCACATTAATTATCACATGTATCATCACATGCATCATCCTACACGTGCCTCTCTCTCCAGCAAGCACATCCATACATCTCTTTCTCCCATCCCATCGCAGCCATTTAATGGCATGCCTCTCAATACACCATCTTCTCTCTTTTCTCCTATCCTTATTCACCCCTCATTTGCTCACCTCTCACACCCACCCCTTCCCACATCACGGCCTGCCAGTGACGTGTCAGTGAACGACCTCACAGGGCCACTGCCCTCCGACCTCAGGTTCGCCGAACCTACTGGCGGCCCAAATTTGTGAGACCCCTGTACTTCTGGCCCCTCTGCTTCTGGCTCCTCTACTTCTGGCCCCTCTGCTTTTGACCCCTCTGCTTTTGACCCCTCTGCTTTTGACCCCTCTGCTGTTGACCCCGAGCGTTGCAATGCTCTTGCCGGCCACGCTGGAGCGTTGGAATGCTTCTGGCCCCTCTGCTTTTGACCCCTCTGCTTTTGACCCCTCTGCTTTTGACCCCTCTGATTTTGACCCCTCTGCTTCTGGCCCCTCTGCTTTTGACCCCTCTGCTTTTGACCCCTCTGCTTTTGACCCCTCTGCTTCTGGCCCCTCTGCTTTTGACCCCTCTACTTCTGACCCCTCGGCTTATGCCCCCTCTTTTCTGACCCCTCGGCTTTGGAGCCCTCCGCTTGTGAGGCACACTCTTTTCCTTCCATCCAAATGCTTTTCTTTCCAACCTGATCCCTATCCTCCTTTCCCTGCCTATCAATTCCCGTCACTGTGGCCTGCTGTGTGCCCCTGTGCCCCCCTGTGCCCCCCTGTGCATCCCTGTGCATCGATGTGCATCCCTGTGCATCGATGTGCATCCCTGTGCTCCGCTGTGCATCCCTGTGCTCCGCTGTGCATCCCTGTGCTCCGCTGTGCATCCCTGTGCTCCGCTGTGCATCCCTGTGCTCCGCTGTCCATCCCTGTGCCCCCCTGTGTGCATCCCTGTGCCCCCCTGTGTGCCCCTGCACCCCTGTGCACCCCTGTGCACCCCGGCATGTCTGGCAGCAACGCGTCGTTCAACCGCCTGTCGGGTGATATTCCCTTTGACTTTAACGTCAAGTTATTCTTCACCCTGTGCGTCACCCCTCTCCCTTGTTTCATGTGGTTCTTAAGGAACTCTCAGAAACCACATTCAACAATTCGCCTCCCTTCTCTCCCTTGAACAGTCCTTAGTCATCGAATAAATTGGGGAGAGCACAGCAAAGCCAGATCCATAAGGCGAATATCAACAGCTGCTTGACAAGCGGCTCAGAGAGCTGAGCCTTTGGCAAGCCCCCACCACCCTCGCCCTCCTCTCCCGAACCCAGGTTTTAGCCACCCCCCAACCTTGTTTTTGCAACCCCCACCCCCCCATCTCGCACTCCCTCCTTTTTTTCCTTCTTGAAAACCCCTTCTCTGCTTTGTTTGAAACGCATAAAACACATGAAATGTTGCTTCTCCCCTGCTGTGGTTTCCCTCCCTTTCCAGAGACATCTCTCACAACAAATTATCGGGTAGAGCTTTATTTTCCGGGCAAAAGAACTTTCCTTTTACCTCTACCATGTGCGTGAGGTGTTTAAGCAGCATGGTGTTGAGTGCGTGAGCAGCAAACTGATCGTCAATGCGTGAGCAGTCACCCACACCAACACACAGGCATCAGCCACAGCAACACACGGGCATCAGTCACAGCAACACACGGGCATCAGCCACAGCAACACACGGGCATCAGCCACAGCAACACACGGGCATCAGCCACACCAACACACGGGCATCAGCCACAGCAACACACGGGCATCAGCCATGGACTCTGACGACCATTCTCCATGATCATCCCTTCCACCATCGCGCCTAGCACCATTTCTTCCCATCATCTCGGCACCCTCACCCCCTCACACCAACGCAACCATTCTCTCTCACACAAACCCATGCCTGCCCATCCATCCAGCACACTCCATTCCATCACCCCTGTCTCCCTACCCACGCACCCATCAGCATCCCCTCTTCCCTCTCTCCCCTTCATCCCCTCGGCACCCGTCCTCTCCTCCCTCCTCCAGCAACTACTCGCACAACAGATTCTCGGGAGCGCTTGACCTCTCCCTCTCTACCCTCACCAACCTCCAGACGCTGTGCGTTGCCCTCACCTTACCACATCTCTGCCCTCCTACCCTTCCCACCCTTCCCACCTGCCACCTCCGCATTGCCTTGCCCTTCCCACTTGTCTATGCACTATGCATATCCCTCTCTGCTGTCCCTCACTCTCGTGCCTCACACCCATGCTTTCCTTAACCCCCTCCCCTCCCTCCCCCATTCCCTCTCAAACGGTCCTCTGTATTAATATCAGCCATGGACAGACAAGGTAAGGCAACAAGTAAAACAGGGGGCTAAGCTAAGCTACGACAGCACAATTAACCTACAACAGCACCTCCACACTCTCCTCCCCCCGACCCTAGTGGCCGGTGGGGTCTTCTATCAGCTGGTACAGCTGCCCCTCGCTCAGGGGGGCAAACGGGTCCTGCAGACCAAGCTCGTCCGCGGCCAGGGCCCCATGGGTCTTGTCGCGGAGTGCATTGGCCTGAGCCTGCTGAAATGTGACACTCCAGCTTCGACACCTCCCAAGAGGTGGGTGCCGCATTGGACCTGCGTTTAGCCGCGAGCTCGGCACAGCTGCGCAGGAAGGCGTGCACTTCCGGCGAGGGGTAGCCATAAGTTTCCATTCCACTGCCATAGCATGGAAGCCCACCCAAGCGTTTCGGCGGGCGTATTTGTCCTCCTTCTTGGCTGCCTGCATCCGCACGGCCCAAACCTGGAGCTTTCCGAGCATGCTTGTTCTGGTGAGAAACGCGCGAGCAGCCAATCTCCTGCTCCAAGGCCGAGTAGAGGCTGCAGTCTCTGCGTGCGGCAGCGAGTTGAGGGCCATTCCTCGCGAGTCGTCAAGCAGCTCGATGAACCGAGCTGTGTGGGCCGCGAGCGAGAGTCCTGCTGCAGCTTTGGCCCATTGGGGTCCCGTTGTCCAACCTGTAGGGCCTCGAGTCCTTCCGAAGGCAGCCCGGCTTCAGACGCAGCGAGGCGCCTTGGCAGAGCCGAGGATGAGTCCGCGTCAGCGTCCATCAGCGGCAAAAGGCGGGCGACAGCAGGGTGAGTTGAGTCGCTGAACGAGCGCAGCAGGTTGGCGGAGGAAATGACCGAAGCCAGGTAAGCAAAACCCCCCTCGACCGCTGGGTGGGTGATGCCGAGGCCGCCCAGGGTTACCGGCAGAGCTGCCTGCCGCCAAATTCGCTCTCTTTCTGCCTGGTCCGGGGTACGGTCGTGTGGGCAGCGGCCAGGCACGTCGGCCCACACAGCGGGTAAATAGCAGCAGACAGAGCTGGGGGTCCATTTGTGTCAAGGGGTCCATTCCCTTTCTGTCTCTCCTATCACAGCCCCAAGCCCCTCTGTATGGTATACCTTCTCCCATCAACGACCATACTCTCCGTGTTTCCCTCTCACCATGTCCCTGTGCTCTCTCTCCCCCCCAGGGACATGTCCGGCAATATCCTCACGGGGTCCATTCCAGCCATCATTTCGCTCCTCACTCGCCTCACTCTGCTGTATGCCCTTGCTGCTATGTGCGCTTTTTTATGTGGGCACTTGCTCTGCTGTCCATTATTCTTGCGTGGGTGCAACGCATGGGTGGTAGAGCAATGTGGAGTGAAGAAATTCATTTTCACACTCCTTTCCGCCCCCCTTTTCCACAATTGTCTCTCTCCTCGCGTGCACCCCTCTCCCTGCCCTCACTCCACTCCTTACCTCCGCACCTCTCCCTGCCCACATTCCACTCCCCACCACTGCATTCAATGGTCCACCGCCCATGTGGCCGCCCTCCTCTCCTGCAGCGACCTTTCTTCCAACCAGTTCACTGGCATCGTGCCGCCAGCTGTCAGCAACCCCACTGACCTCGTCAGCATGTGAGATGACATGTCAGCAAATGTGAGGTGCCATGTCAGCATGTGTGTGAGTGAGCATGTGTGTGACATTGCTCGTCAGATTTTGTACGTCTCTGTCACATCTTAATTTTGACAACTCCTGCTCCTACCCACCCCCACTCACCCATGTCTACCCCTGTCCACCCCGTCTCCCCCTGATCAGCAACCTGGCGCGCAACCTGCTGCAGGGCTCCATTCCCCGGGCCCTCTCCCGCCTCTCCTCCCTCACCTACCTGTGCGCCCTCCTCTCCCTTGCTCGTCGCTGCTCCTTCTCGTCATGCCATGTTACGCTCCATGTCGTGCACCACGTCATGCCATGTGATGCACCACGTCATGCCATGTCATGCACCACGTCATGCCATATCATGCACCACGTCATGCCATGGCATGCACCATGTCACACCATGCAATCTTACTCGATTCTTCGCACTGGCATGCCCTCTTGCATGCCATATGCCATGCCTTGTGCGAGATACCATTACCTAATAACCTATACCCCATACTCCACACCGTAAGCTTCATTACCTGTACCCAATACCCATGCATGCCGCCTCCCAGCAACGTGTCGTCCAATCAGCTGTCAGGAGACATCACACTGGCCCTCTCTCCTCTGCGCTCCCTCAAACTCGTGTGAGGCGCTCCTGTGGGCAGGGGTGTGGTGGGGCTTGTGGCATGGGGCTTGGCATGGGGCTTGTGGCATGGGGCTTGGCATGGGGCTTGTGGCATGGGGCTTGGCATGGGGCTTGTGGCATGGGGCTTGACATGGGGCTTGTGGCATGGGGCTTGGCATGGGGCTTGTGGCATGGGGCTTGGCATGGGGCTTGTGGCATGGGGCTTGGCATGGGGCTTGTGGCATGGGGCTTGGCATGGGGCTTGTGGCATGGGGCTTGGCATGGGGCTTGTGGCATGGGGCTTGGCATGGGGCTTGTGGCATGGGGCTTGTGGCATGGAGCGTGGGCCAGTGGGCATGGGGCATGAGGCATGGGGTATGGCACATGAGCATGACGCATGGGCACGGTGCAGGGGACACATTAAACCAGCTTACCACACCATTAATTTTTCATGCTGTCTCACTATGGATGTTTCCCGTTCCATCCCTCCGCATTCTCGTATCCCCTCGCCCTGATCGCTTCATCTCCCTTGGATCTCTGTCATGTACCCCCCCCATGCCCTGCCATATTCCCCATTCCTCCGTGCTCCGCAGTGACATCTCAGCCAACGTACTGAATGGCTCTGTGCCGCCCTTCTTTGGTCGCATGCCCAACATGACCCACCTGTATGGCATGACTCACCTGTATGGCATGACTCACCTGTATGGCATGACTCACCTGTATGGCATCACTCACCTGTATGGCATGACTCACCTGTATGGCATGACTCACCTGTATGGCATGACTCACCTGTATGGCATGACTCACCTGTATGGCATGACTCACCTGTATGGCATGACCCACCTGTATGGCATGACTCACCTGTATGGCATGACTCACCTGTATGGCATGACTCACCTGTATGGCATGACTCACCTGTATGGCATGACTCACCTGTATGGCATGACCCACCTGTATGGCATGACTCACCTGTATGGCATGACTCACCTGTATGGCATGACCCACCTGTATGGCATGACTCACCTGTATGCCATGACCCACTTGTATGCCATGACCCACTTGTATGGCCACGATATGCCTATATGCATATATCGTTCCTATATGCATGTATCGTTCCTATATGCATGTATCGTTCTTATATGCATGTATCGTTCCTAAGTGGACTTTGCATGCCTTTATGTGAACCACTGTAAACTTTTCCATGGAGCATGCCGTGTCTTGACGTATCAGCATGCCATGTCATGACATCTGATGTCAGCATGAGCCACCTACTCAAGAGTCAAGACCCACAACAGAGACACATGGGCATCCATCCTTCTGCCCTCGCCATGCCATTGTCGTGTATGTAGATAAACCACCCATGGTCCCATGACCCACAACGAGGCCATCACATTCCTACCCTACCCCTTACCTTTGCCCGTGCCACGCCATGTCATTCCCATACATCGCCACGCCATGCCATGGCAGGGACGTGGCCATCAGCCACCCATGTCTACCCCCTATTGTTCCCCACGCCACTCCACGCCACGCCATGGCAGGAATATGGCCATCAACTTTCTCTCCGGGTCGCTGCCTCCCTCCATCTTCAACCTGCGACGGCTCTCCCACCTGTCAGTCAGCTCTTCCACCTGTCAGTCAGCTCTCCCACCTGTCAGTCAGCTCTCCCACCTGTCAGTCAGCTCTTCCACCTGTCAGTCAGCTCTCCCACCTGTCAGTCAGCTCTCCCACCTGTCAGTCAGCTCTTCCACCTGTCAGTCAGCTCTCCCACCTGTCAGTCAGCTCTCCCACCTGTCAGTCAGCTCTCGCACCTGTCAATCAGCTCTCCCACCTGTCAGTCAGCTCTCCCACCTGTCAGTCAGCTCTCCCACCTGTCAGTCAGCTCTCCCACCTGTCAGTCAGCTCTCCCACCTGTCAGTCAGCTCTCCCACCTGTCAGTCAGCTCTCCCACCTGTCAGTCAGCTCTCCCACCTGTCAGTCAGCTCTCCCACCTGTCAGTCAGCTCTCCCACCTGTCAGTCAGCTCTCCCACCTGTCAGTCAGCTCTCCCACCTGTCAGTCAGCTCTCCCACCTGTCAGTCAGCTCTCCCACCTGTCAGTCAGCTCTTCCACCTGTCAGTCAGCTCTCCCACCTGTCAGTCAGCTCTCCCACCTGTCAGTCAGCTCTCCCACCTGTCAGTCAGCTCTCCCACCTGTCAGTCAGCTCTCCCACCTGTCAGTCAGCTCTCCCACCTGTCAGTCAGCTCTCCCACCTGTCAGTCAGCTCTCCCACCTGTCAGTCAGCTCTCCCACCTGTCAGTCAGCTCTCCCACCTGTCAGTCAGCTCTCCCACCTGTCAGTCAGCTCTCCCACCTGTCAGTCAGCTCTCCCACCTGTCAGTCAGCTCTCCCACCTGTCAGTCAGCTCTCCCACCTGTCAGTCAGCTCTCCCACCTGTCAGTCAGCTCTCCCACCTGTCAGTCAGCTCTCCCACCTGTCAGTCAGCTCTCCCACCTGTCAGTCAGCTCTCCCACCTGTCAGTCAGCTCTTCCACCTGTCAGTCAGCTCTCCCACCTGTCAGTCAGCTCTCCCACCTGTCAGTCAGCTCTCCCACCTGTCAGTCAGCTCTCCCACCTGTCAGTCAGCTCTCCCACCTGTCAGTCAGCTCTCCCACCTGTCAGTCAACTTCCCTATCTATAACACCCATCAGAACAGCAGCTTCTAGCAACCAGCCATTCATTTTATATTCCTTCATCCTTACCATCAGTCCTCATGTCGTCTCTCATCCGCCACTCTGCCCTCTTCCCCCTGTCCCTGCCACACAACTCACCATCGCAGCAACGTGTCTCGCAACCGCCTCTCAGGCCCTCTGCCCAACGCTGTTGCCAGCCCAGCTCTCATCCTGTGCGTATGCCCTGTTAACCACAACAGGTCGTGGTAACCATGAGAGTCTTGGTAACGAAAAGATCTCCTGGTAACCATTCCATTTGAATCTTGCAAGTAAAAACTCCTTTTCACTTCCCTCTCCCTCCCCTTTACCTCCTGCACCCTCCTTTTCCTGGTGCGTGTTCTCTCAGCCGTCGCCTTTTCTTTTCCCGTTTCCGCCCACCCACGTGTCTCTCTCTCCCTTATACTCCCATCCATACTCTCTCCCATATCTCTCTCGACACGCTCAACGCGCATTCAACATGTTCCCATGTCCACAGAGACCTCTCATTCAACACGCTCTCAGGGTCGCTGGAGAGCCGCCATGTCAATCTCAAGCGTCTGGTCACTCTGTGAGTGTGGTGCCATGCTGTGAGTGTGGGGCCATGCTGTGAGTGTGGTGCCATGCTGTGAGTGTGGGGCCATGCTGTGAGTGTGGGGCCATGCTGTGAGTGTGGGGCCATGCTGTGAGTGTGGGGCCATGCTGTGAGTGTGGGGACATGCTGTGAGTGTGGGGCCATGCTGTGAGTGTGGGGCCATGCTGTGAGTGTGGGGCCATGCTGTGAGTGTGGGGCCATGCTGTGAGTGTGGGGCCATGCTGTGAGTGCGGGGCCATGCTGTGAGTGTGGGGCCATGCTGTGAGTGTGGGGCCATGCTGTGAGTGTGGGGCCATGCTGTGAGTGTGGGGCCATGCTGTGAGTGTGGGGCCATGCTGTGAGTGTGGGGCCATGCTGTGAGTGTGGGGCCATGCTGTGAGTGTGGGGCCATGCTGTGAGTGTGGTGCCATGCTGTGAGTGTGGGGCCATGCTGTGAGTGTGGGGCCATGCTGTGAGTGTGGGGCCATGCTGTGAGTGTGGGGCCATGCTGTGAGTGTGGGGCCATGCTGTGAGTGTGGGGCCATGCTGTGAGTGTGGGGCCATGCTGTGAGTGTGGGGCCATGCTGTGAGTGTGGGGCCATGCTGTGAGTGTGGGGCCATGCTGTGAGTGTGGTGCCATGCTGTGAGTGTGGTGCCATGCTGTGAGCGTGGGGCCATGCTGTGAGTGTGGTGCCATGCTGTGAGTGTGGTGCCATGCTGTGAGTGTGGTGCCATGCTGTGAGTGTGGTGCCATGCTGAGTGTGGGGCCATGCTGTGAGTGTGGTGCCATGCTGTGAGTGTGGTGCCATGCTGTGAGTGTGGTGCCATGCTGTGAGTGTGGTGCCATGCTGTGAGTGTGGTGCCATGCTGTGAGTGTGGTGCCATGCTGTGAGTGTGGTGCCATGCTGTGAGTGTGGTGCCATGCTGTGAGTGTGGTGCCATGCTGTGAGTGTGGTGCCATGCTGTGAGTGTGGTGCCATGCTGTAAGTGTGGTGCCATGCTGTGAGTGTGGGGCCATGCTGTGAGTGTGGTGCCATGCTGTGAGTGTGGGGCCATGCTGTGAGTGTGGGGCCATGCTGTGAGTGTGGGGCCATGCTGTGAGTGTGGGGCCATGCTGTGAGTGTGGTGCCATGCTATGAGTGTGGGGCCATGCTGTGAGTGTGGGGCCATGCTGTGAGTGTGGGGCCATGCTGTGAGTGTGGTGCCATGCTGTGAGTGTGGGGCCATGCTGTGAGTGTGGTGCCATGCTGTGAGTGTGGTGCCATGCTGTGAGCGTGGGGCCATGCTGTGAGTGTGGTGCCATGCTGTGAGTGTGGTGCCATGCTGTGAGTGTGGTGCCATGCTGTGAGTGTGGTGCCATGCTGAGTGTGGGGCCATGCTGTGAGTGTGGTGCCATGCTGTGAGTGTGGTGCCATGCTGTGAGTGTGGTGCCATGCTGTGAGTGTGGTGCCATGCTGTGAGTGTGGTGCCATGCTGTGAGTGTGGTGCCATGCTGTGAGTGTGGTGCCATGCTGTGAGTGTGGTGCCATGCTGTGAGTGTGGTGCCATGCTGTGAGTGTGGTGCCATGCTGTGAGTGTGGTGCCATGCTGTGAGTGTGGGGCCATGCTGTGAGTGTGGGGCCATGCTGTGAGTGTGGGGCCATGCTGTGAGTCTGGGGTCATGCTGTGAGTGTGGGGCCATGCTGTGAGTGTGGGGCCATGCTGTGAGTGTGGGGCCATGCTGTGAGTGTGGGGCCATGCTGTGAGTGTGGGGCCATGCTGTGGGGCCATGCTGTGAGTGTGGGGCCATGCTGTGAGTGTGGGGCCATGCTGTGAGTGTGGTGCCATGCTGTGAGTGTGGTGCCATGCTGTGAGCGTGGGGCCATGCTGTGAGCGTGGTGCCATGCTGTGAGTGTGGTGCCATGCTGTGAGTGTGGTGCCATGCTGTGAGCGTGGGGCCATGCTGTGAGTGTGGTGCCATGCTGTGAGTGTGGTGCCATGCTGTGAGTGTGGTGCCATGCTGTGAGTGTGGTGCCATGCTGAGTGTGGGGCCATGCTGTGAGTGTGGTGCCATGCTGTGAGTGTGGTGCCATGCTGTGAGTGTGGTGCCATGCTGTGAGTGTGGTGCCATGCTGTGAGTGTGGGGCCATGCTGTGAGTGTGGGGCCATGCTGTGAGTGTGGGGCCATGCTGTGAGTGTGGGGCCATGCTGTGAGTGTGGGGCCATGCTGTGAGTGTGGGGCCATGCTGTGAGTGTGGGGCCATGCTGTGAGTGTGGGGCCATGCTGTGAGTGTGGTGCCATGCTGTGATTCTGGGGCCATGCTGTGAGTGTGGGGCCATGCTGTGAGTGTGGGGCCATGCTGTGAGTGTGGGGCCATGCTGTGAGTGTGGGGCCATGCTGTGAGTGTGGGGCCATGCTGTGAGTGTGGGGCCATGCTGTGAGTGTGGGGCCATGCTGTGAGTGTGGTGCCATGCTGTGAGTGTGGTGCCATGCTGTGAGCGTGGGGCCATGCTGTGAGTGTGGTGCCATGCTGTGAGTGTGGTGCCATGCTGTGAGTGTGGTGCCATGCTGTGAGTGTGGTGCCATGCTGAGTGTGGGGCCATGCTGTGAGTGTGGTGCCATGCTGTGAGTGTGGTGCCATGCTGTGAGTGTGGTGCCATGCTGTGAGTGTGGTGCCATGCTGTGAGTGTGGTGCCATGCTGTGAGTGTGGTGCCATGCTGAGTGTGGGGCCATGCTGTGAGTGTGGTGCCATGCTGTGAGTGTGGTGCCATGCTGTGAGTGTGGTGCCATGCTGTGAGTGTGGTGCCATGCTGTGAGTGTGGTGCCATGCTGTGAGTGTGGTGCCATGCTGTGAGTGTGGTGCCATGCTGTGAGTGTGGTGCCATGCTGTGAGTGTGGTGCCATGCTGTGAGTGTGGTGCCATGCTGTGAGTGTGGTGCCATGCTGTGAGTGTGGTGCCATGCTGTGAGTGTGGTGCCATGCTGTGAGTGTGGTGCCATGCTGTGAGTGTGGGGCCATGCTGTGAGTGTGGGGCCATGCTGTGAGTGTGGGGCCATGCTGTGAGTCTGGGGTCATGCTGTGAGTGTGGGGCCATGCTGTGAGTGTGGGGCCATGCTGTGAGTGTGGGGCCATGCTGTGAGTGTGGGGCCATGCTGTGAGTGTGGGGCCATGCTGTGGGGCCATGCTGTGAGTGTGGGGCCATGCTGTGAGTGTGGGGCCATGCTGTGAGTGTGGTGCCATGCTGTGAGTGTGGTGCCATGCTGTGAGCGTGGGGCCATGCTGTGAGCGTGGTGCCATGCTGTGAGTGTGGTGCCATGCTGTGAGTGTGGTGCCATGCTGAGTGTGGGGCCATGCTGTGAGTGTGGTGCCATGCTGTGAGTGTGGTGCCATGCTGTGAGTGTGGTGCCATGCTGTGAGTGTGGTGCCATGCTGTGAGTGTGGTGCCATGCTGTGAGTGTGGTGCCATGCTGTGAGTGTGGTGCCATGCTGTGAGTGTGGTGCCATGCTGTGAGTGTGGTGCCATGCTGTGAGTGTGGTGCCATGCTGTGAGTGTGGTGCCATGCTGTGAGTGTGGTGCCATGCTGTGAGTGTGGGGCCATGCTGTGAGTGTGGGGCCATGCTGTGAGTGTGGGGCCATGCTGTGAGTGTGGGGCCATGCTGTGAGTGTGGGGCCATGCTGTGAGTGTGGGGCCATGCTGTGAGTGTGGGGCCATGCTGTGAGTGTGGGGCCATGCTGTGAGTGTGGGGCCATGCTGTGAGTGTGGGGCCATGCTGTGAGTGTGGTGCCATGCTGTGATTCTGGGGCCATGCTGTGAGTGTGGGGCCATGCTGTGAGTGTGGGGCCATGCTGTGAGTGTGGGGCCATGCTGTGAGTGTGGGGCCATGCTGTGAGTGTGGGGCCATGCTGTGAGTGTGGGGCCATGCTGTGAGTGTGGGGCCATGCTGTGAGTGTGGTGCCATGCTGTGAGTGTGGTGCCATGCTGTGAGCGTGGGGCCATGCTGTGAGTGTGGTGCCATGCTGTGAGTGTGGTGCCATGCTGTGAGTGTGGTGCCATGCTGTGAGTGTGGTGCCATGCTGAGTGTGGGGCCATGCTGTGAGTGTGGTGCCATGCTGTGAGTGTGGTGCCATGCTGTGAGTGTGGTGCCATGCTGTGAGTGTGGTGCCATGCTGTGAGTGTGGTGCCATGCTGTGAGTGTGGTGCCATGCTGTGAGTGTGGTGCCATGCTGTGAGTGTGGTGCCATGCTGTGAGTGTGGTGCCATGCTGTGAGTGTGGTGCCATGCTGTGAGTGTGGTGCCATGCTGTGAGTGTGGTGCCATGCTGTGAGTGTGGTGCCATGCTGTGAGTGTGGTGCCATGCTGTGAGTGTGGGGCCATGCTGTGAGTGTGGTGCCATGCTGTGAGTGTGGGGCCATGCTGTGAGTGTGGGGCCATGCTGTGAGTGTGGGGCCATGCTGTGAGTGTGGGGCCATGCTGTGAGTGTGGGGCCATGCTGTGAGCGTGGTGCCATGCTGTGAGTGTGGTGCCATGCTGTGAGTGTGGTGCCATGCTGTGAGTGTGGTGTCATGCTGTGAGTGTGGTGCCATGCTGTGAGTGTGGGGCCATGCTGTGAGTGTGGTGCCATGCTGTGAGTGTGGTGCCATGCTGTGAGCGTGGGGCCATGCTGTGAGCGTGGTGCCATGCTGTGAGTGTGGTGCCATGCTGTGAGTGTGGTGCCATGCTGTGAGTGTGGTGCCATGCTGAGTGTGGGGCCATGCTGTGAGTGTGGTGCCATGCTGTGAGTGTGGTGCCATGCTGTGAGTGTGGTGCCATGCTGTGAGTGTGGTGCCATGCTGTGAGTGTGGTGCCATGCTGTGAGTGTGGTGCCATGCTGTGAGTGTGGTGCCATGCTGTGAGTGTGGTGCCATGCTGTGAGTGTGGGGCCATGCTGTGAGTGTGGTGCCATGCTGTGAGTGTGGTGCCATGCTGTGAGTGTGGTGCCATGCTGTGAGTGTGGTGCCATGCTGTGAGTGTGGTGCCATGCTGTGAGTGTGGTGCCATGCTGTGAGTGTGGTGCCATGCTGTGAGTGTGGGGCCACGCTGTGAGTGCCACCAGATGCCGTTGCTCTTACTTTCGTCAGCCAGCTTCGTTGCTTGTGCTCTCTTTGAGTCGTTCCTGCTCTTCTTGCTTGGCTTGCGTCCCCTGCCCCGCCATCGCGCATGCCTTCCCCTCCTTCTCGCCCCCCATTCCTCCCTCCTGCCTCTCGTCCATCCCCCATGCGCCCTCTTGCTTTCCTTCCCGCCCAGCCCCCATAATCTCTTGCTTCCCGGCCGCCCATCCCTGCTTCCTGTCCGCCCACCCTCCCCTCCCTCCTTCCCTGTCGCCCCCCCTCCCCCCCTCCCTGCTTCCCCGTCCGCCCCCCTCCCTGCTTCCCCGTCCGGCCCCCCTCCCCCCTCCCTGCTTCCTGTCCGCCCCTCCCCCCTGCTTCTCGTCCGCCCATCCCTGCAGGGCGGTGCATCACAACCAGCTGTCAGGACCCGTTCCCGAGTACCTCTGCCAATCCGTGCTGCAGATCATGTAACGTCCACGTGCCGTAACATTCACTAGGTGCATTGCACTCACCATGCAATCTTTGGGTGTAATGTGCAGATGACTTAGCATTCACACAGTGTAGCAAACAAGCAGGCAGGCAGTTGAATGTGAGCATCCATGTATAAATGCCCTGGTGACAAAAGAGGTGTCATCCATAATTTGTTACCTGCCCGCCCTTTCACCTGCCCGCCCGTCCACCTGCAGGCTCCTTAGCAGCAACGCCTTCTGGGGGCCCCTCCCTCAGTGCCTGCCCTTCCTCTCCTCCGCCCAACTCATGTCCGTTCACCCCTTCACCCTTCGCCCTTCAACCTCCCTTCAACCTTCACCCTTAGCCCTTCAGTTTTGCCCCTTCCGCTAATCACCCTGACGTTGTTCTTGTTCTTCTTTTTTTCTGCTGCTCCTCTTGTCGCACTCTCGTTTGTAACCTTCGACCTCCAGTCGTGCTGCCAGGATTCCTTACCTTCCAGGCCATCTCCGCTCCTGACCTCTCCTCTTCCCCTTGACCCCTGCGCCCCTTTGCTCCGCACCTGTCTACCAGTGACGTCAGCAACAATCTGCTCTTCATGGATGCCGCAACCTTCCAAAACATGCCGCCCATCATCCTGGACCTCAGCGGAAACTACCTCTACGGCTCCTTCTCCCCCTCCCCCAACATCACCCTCTCCTCCTCCTCCTCCTCGCCCCCCTTCCCCTCTCTCCTCCTCCCAGCGACTCCCCAACCCCAGTCCCTCCCCCCCTGGGCAGTCCAGGATGCAACAAACTCTCAGTGGGTGTGGGTGACGCAGGGGGAGCAGCAGGAGGGAACTGAAGCAGGAGGGGAGGGCGGGGGGAATAGCAATGCAGTGGCATGGCTGGCTGTGGAAGGAAATTGTTTGGGGAGTGAGGGGGTGGGGCAGCAGCGGGGGCCGACAGAGTGTGCGGCGGTGTGTGGGATAGAGTCAAGGCAGGGCCCCTGTGGGGGTGCGGGTGCGGGGCAGTGTGTGGTGCAGAGCGGTTGGCCGCCGTCCCTCTCCTGCTCCTGTGCCAGTGGCTACGTTGCTGTTACTGCTGCCGGCACTGCCAACACCACCACTTGCCAACTGCCGCCTCCTTCCCCTCCCGGTATGCTGAATTGACTTAGTGGCTTGAGCTGTTGCCCTACCCCGCCTTCCAGTGTATACCCAACCCTCTTTGCTGCCTTGTTTAGCTTCACTCCCACTTCATTTCCCTCTCTCTCTACTTCTCAACGCCATTGCTCCGCTCCATCTCTCCATACTCCGCTTCTCCTTCGATCTCACACCAACCCCCCTCTCTCCCCCTTTTTCCGCCCCCCCCTCTCCCCCCTCGTCCCCCCCCCCCCCCCTTCCCCCCTTGTCCCATTCAACCCCCATTCCCCCCCATAACCATGTCATGAACGTTATGTTACCCATATCTTATCACTCTTCACCGTGCCTCTACAGCTCCCGCTAACCATTGCCCCGTTTTCCTAAACATCCCCTTCCTTGGCAGTGGCCTCCCTGTCCACAGGTGCCATAGTGGGCATCGTTTTGGGCTGCTTTGCGGGCTTCATGCTGCTGGCTGCTGTGGTCGTATGGTTACTGTGGCCCCGCGGACCAAGTGAGCCCTTCCGCCCTTCCCCGGCTCCTTTCCGTCTCCCCAAATGCTGTACCTTTTTTCCGGCCTCTTCTGCTCAAATTCCTTGCCAATTTTCCTGTATTACAACTCTGCCTTTCCACTACCCTCGTGCTCTCTCCACTCATCTACACACTAGGTCACTCATTCCTCTTTGGTCACTCTCTCCCTCCCTTTGTCCTCCTGTGGTCACAGAGAAGTGGGAGGGGTTGGATGTGTGTGAGCAGTTCTCGCTGCAGCAGATGCTCAGGGCCACCAACAACTGGTCGGAGGACAATGTGCTGGGAAAGGGTGGCTTTGGCGTTGTCTACAACGGCCGCTCGCCACAGGGTCAGCTGTGGGCCATCAAGCGCTCCACCATCATGACTAACGACTTTGAAACGGAGGTCAGGCATTCCTCAGGCTTTCCGCCCACAACTGTAAATCTCTGCAAAATGCTGACCATTCCGTGCTCGCCTTTCCATTTCCCTCTGCATCGGCCTGCATTGTGTTGCATGTCCATGTTGCAGGTGCGAGCCATGGCCTCTCTCCACCACGTGCATCTCGTGCGCCTGCTGGGCTTCTGCCTGGATCAGAACGTGGAGACGGGCAAGCAGGAGCAGATCCTGGTCTACGAGTTCATAGGCAACAGGGACCTCCAGTACCATATCCATGCCACCAAGCGTGAGTTGCTCTGGCGTGAGTTGCTCTGGTGTGAGTTGTGAGTTGCTCTGGCGTTAGTTGCACTGGCACAATTGCTCAATGGTTGCCATTCGTTTTGATGTATATATATGTATATATATTTTCAAAGAGCATGACACTGTCTCCCATATAAATGCACGTTCTGCTCCATATTCGTGTTTCAACACCCAGGTCCGCTCTCGCTGCGCCAGAGGTTGCGCCTAGCGCAAGGAGCAGCAGAAGGCCTGGCGTACCTGCATGGGTTTGACACAACCATTGTGCACCGCGACATCAAGCCGGCAAACATCCTTGTGACTGCCGACATGCACGCTAAGGTGGCTGACTTTGGACTGCTCAAGCGCCTCACTCACGGCGATGCTGATGCCACACGAGTGGCCGGCACTCCTGGCTATGTGGATCCGGACTACAACCGCACCAGCGTCATCACTGCCAAGAGTGACGTGTTCAGGTCTGCATGCTTGCTTCTTTGCACAACGCGATGAACCTGTGCACCTCTGTTTTCTTCTTGTATTCTTACTTATGCTGAGTGCGTACGTGTACCCAGATTGTTACCTTTTCCTCTCTCCACCTTTCCACCTTTTTCTCTCTGTTCACTTCCATGATCACGTGCAGCTTTGGGATCGTTCTTCTTGAGCTGTTGAGTGGGAAGGCGCCCAGAATCGACGAGAAAACGCATATAAGAAAATGGGTATGCTCATCAGCTCTGAACAAACCTCTACCAAGTTGTGTATGGCCGTACAGTTATCTAGAGTTAACTTTTATCCTGGCTCTCTCTGCCTTTCCTTACTTGTCATGTTGTTTTTCACCCACTCTCCCAAAACGCATCCCTGCTTGCATGCGCGCCATCCAGGCAGTAAAGCTGGTGGAGGCGTACGAGCTGGAAGAGCTGAGGGACAGCAAGATGCCGACGGCCAGCGAAGAGGCTGTAGTGGACTTCGCTGACCTGGCTCTGGACTGCATCAAGTCTCCCGGCAAACGGCGACCCACCATGAAGGATGTGGCATACCGCCTCAGTGCCCTCATTGACAAGCATTGTCCCGACAAGGAGGACGAGTGGGAAAGTGTTGCAGAAGGAGAGAGTTCAACCAACAAAAATATCTCTTCCAGGAGTGTTTCTGCTTTGTTGTTTGGAGACAGTGGGAGGGAGGCTGAAAGGTCTCATGGCTCACATTCTGATGTGATCTCATTTGTGGGATTAGCTCGATAAGTGAGAGAGAGAGAGAGAGCGCCTCAAGAATCATCTGCAATTACCATTCAAAGGTTGCTGAGTATGTCCAAAATGACCGCACGCGGGTACCTTGGAACTTAGGTTTCTTTGTTTAAAGGTGGTGGTGTACAACACACCGTAATACCCCGGATGTAAGACCATAGGGTCGCACAAACAAAATTGAGGGGGGGGGGAGGGTCTTAAAGCTCGCGTCTCATATTTCTGCCATCCAACCAAGTGTTAAACGGTTGGAATCCGGTAACAGCAGAGTTTGTCGCGAAGCACACCAAAGCAAGGGGTGGTTGGCAAAGTTGGCTGTCGCACACTTCCCGTGCACACCAAGTGTTTACAACTCCCGAAAATATGAGACTCTGAACTCAACGCCCAGGACCGAACCTGTCACCCTTGGCTCGGTTTCCCCCCAAACCAACCCACCCTGGTTTGTTTTGGCCTCGACTCTTTTGGAGTTCGCTGTGTTTTTTTCACCCACTCGTCAAATATTTCGACTTTCGTTACCCAATCAAACCCTGGCAAACCCAACCAAGTGTTAAACGGTTGGAAATTAGAGACGCGAGCTTTAACAATTGGCACATATTTTAAAGGAGGGAATTGTCACAACTTATAGGCTTAGTAATGAGCTTGAGGCTCTTTAAGGGTACATTCCGCTGTGGACATTTTCTCAAAGAAAGTGTCCCAATCACATTTGGCCTGAGTCGCCCTCAAATGTCTCGGGGCTGCATGTCCCAATCGTTCGATGTATTGCGACTCTGCACAGACGCGCGACAATTATATGGAACTACTCTGATTGGTCAGACCATATAGTGGCCCACTTATCTTGCGAGTCACACGCACCAACACCACCAAGCCCGCAACCGAACCTTGGTGGTGTCCAGGGAGGCCGCGGAGGGATATGTAATTTTCCGCGCCTCCAATAATTGCCACAAAGAGCCGTACAATATCCAGCACGACATCACAAAGAATGGCTAGATTGAGTAAACAAAGCACAACTTTGTCCACTACACGCGCATGACATACGCAAAATGGCGGAGCCTAAAGCCATCCCCTTCATCCTACGCCTACTCGTCGCATGGGTCACCTACTACTACACCATTTTTTACGAAAGTGTTGCCAAGTCCTTCGTCGGCATGATTGAGGCCGGTGTGATCGAAGACGCCGACGAGCAGTCCTCTTCTCTTGGGGACGATACCGGGGAGAACCGCCGTCACCGAGCCAGAGTACGGCGGCAACGCCATGAGCTGTGGGTTGACGACCTGCAACATATGCGGGAGAACGACTTCCAGGACATATTCAGAATCAACCGCGCCATCCTTGAGCATATCAAGACATGGATGCGCCAATATCTAGAGCCGATCGTTTATCGGTCATTGATCACAATGGACACTGCGCTGCTCATCCCAATCAAATATCTGGCGAGCGGGATTTCCTTCGTCGACATGTCGTACCTCTTTGGCGTCTCCAAAACATTGTGCCACGAGCTTGTCGACGTGTTCCTCACCGAGTTCCCCGCCTTGTTCAAGGCCGCCTGGGTGCTTTTCCCCACACGTGAAGAACTGCCGGAGATGGCGAGAGAATTTGCCGCAGTCAAAGGTGTATCTGTAGTGGTGGGGGCTGTAGACGGGACACACATCCATACGAAAGGGATGGAAGGGCACCGGTCCGAGTACTGGACAGGAAAGTCGGCCTACGCCGTACAGCTCCAAATCACGTGTGATGCTCGAGGGAGAATATGGGATTACCTCATCGGTTATCCCGGCAGCGTGCACGACATGCGTGTTTTCAAGGACTCTGCATTACTGGAAAGGTTACACAACGGGGACATAACCCCATACCAGATTGTTGGGGATGCGGCATACCCGTTCCGAGAATACTGCCTAACCCTACTGCATGCACAGCGCGGAGAGGATCTAATGGACGACTGGGCCCAAACTTTCAAAAACTGCCAGAGCGCTACGCGCATGGCGGTGGAGAGGTGCATTGGCGCATTCAAAGGGAGATGGCGCATCTTCAGCGGGCGCAACGACTGCAGGTTATGGCGCATCCTTGCCGGGGCCGCGTGTTGTGTGATCCTGCACAACATGTGCGAAGACATGGCAGAGGTTAGGCGCACGAACTTGGCCTGGTACAATCTGCCCCGCAACCGCGACCCATGGTGGACACGGGGTGCAATCGCGGAGCACAAGTGGGAACCTTGTGTTCCTGCGACACAGCAGGCTCTGAGAGAGAGACGGAAAAGACTGGGCGAAGCCCTGCAAGATTTTACGCTAATCGCCGGCGCCGTGCACCCATATCTCCACATCGTCATCACCCGGTGTGACGGTGTTGACGTCGCCATCATCGTCGCGCTGCTGGGCGGCTCCGGGAGGTGGCGCGGACTCCCCGCGTGGCGGAGGAGGGCTGAAATCCGTCGTCGCACGGTGCACATCCGGTGGGGCCGATTCAGTCACACGCTCGCGTGCAAGGCGCATGTCCTGCGCCATCCATTCACGGACGAGACCCTCTATGCGCGTCATCGCGTCACCGTGACAATCTTTGATGGTCACGGAGACAAGCATGGCGGCTTGCATAGTAGCTGTCTCATGAACCCGCGCGCGCTTCGGTGTTCCCGTGGGCTGAGGCGGCGGTGCTGTAACAGAAACGCATAAGAAATTGCAGGGTAGATTAGCGCGTATAAGGTTGCATGCTGTTTATGCCGTTTGTTGCAAGACAGATACGCGTTGCCCTTGTTGAACATCTTTGTGGACGAGAGCGGAAAGCTCATGCGGTTTAAGAATCACAACTCATCTGTAAAGGTCGGTGTCAAAGTCTCTGGCTGAGAGGCACTTGGGACCTCCATGCCGGCCGGCACGTTGACGTTAGTGGCGCCGCCGCCATCCACCGCATGCGGTGCGGCTGCGGCGGTGTCCTTGTTGAACAGCTCCAGATACGGCCACCATGGCGGTTTCTCCACATAACCGTTGCCCGAACCACCATCACCACGCTTGTACTCCTGCCAAAGTAGCAGCAGGTTGCGCCACTGCTCTTGCAACCCGTTGACATTCCGGCACCAACCCGGGTTCGACTCCTTGATGTTCGCGAGAAGGCGGACCCAGTACTGCGTCCCCTGCTTCCCCTTGAGCGGCTCGAGCTCATCTTTCATGAACCAACGCGCGGCGGCAAAGATTGTGCTTTCCTTATCCGACCAAAAGCCCCTTTCGAATGGTGCAGCAGACCGCTTCTTCCTTGGCTCCTGTCGTGGCAGTGGATCAACCGCCTTGCCTTTGCCTTTGTCCGTCCCTGAGGCGCGAGCGACGCCCCGTTTCGGCGGCTGTGCAACAGGTTGCGCTTCCTCCTCCGCGTCGTCGTCGGCGTCGTCATCGTCGCCGTCATTGCGGAGATAACTAGTGCAACGGGAGCTAGACTACGGGCTAGGCACGGGGCAAGAGTGATCGTAGCGTTCGTTCGTTCCTTAGTCGTTTCCAAGTGCTAACACTACTTGCTAGTTCACGGGGAAAATTGGCAAGAGTTTCACTAGGAAAACATGACAACAAAAGTTCAAAATGATTGCATCAACATTGGCAACACAGACTACATCAGACCTAGCAAGGCTGCTGGTCGACTGCCAGCGCAGCACGGTCGACCGCGTGCCAGCACGACTTGGTCGACCGCGCTCCAGCAGATCAGAGTCGCGGCTTGCCAACGTTGCCAGTCCGCGGTGTGCCAACGCTGCAGTAAGTCGGCTGTACAGCGTTGCACCCGTCTGACAATGGTGCACCAGCTTCGCAGGTGCGTGCAGCTGGTTGGCGCCCAACTCCCCGTCACATGCCCAGCGCAGACACTCCACCCGTGACGGCGCCCACCAGCCACGTCGACCTCGGGATACCACCCCCGAGGTCGTCCTCGCAGACACCACCCCGGCGACCTTCGCCCACGTCGGGTATCCTAGTCGACCGGGTATCCCGCGGCCCCCGTGGCCCCCCCGGTCGTCCATCCGCGGCCACCGCGGTCTTCGCGGTCCCGTGGTCCCATGGTCGTCCCGCGGCCCCGCGGTTCTCCCGCGGCCCCGCGGTTCTCCCGCGGTTCCGCGGCCCTCCCGCGGTCCCGCGTCTCCCGCGGTTTCGCGGCCGGCTCCGCCCAAGCGAGGACGGGGCCAAACACTACTCCCGTTGAAACTCCCCTGCCGCGTTCACGCTTGGGCCCCCCAGCCCACACGGCAGCACTGCTCGGAGAATAGCCCGACGGCGTGCACACAACGCACAGCACGCCGGTCACCGCACCAGCCATGCATGAGGGCATGGCACCTACTGCTGCACGTCGTTGTCACCGTCGCCCACATCGGCCAGGCGCACTTGGCCGATTGGAACGGAGCACCGGTTGAAGGCCGGGTAGTGCAGCGCCTTCGTCAGGAAGTCGGCCGGCTGCTCAGCGGTCGGGATGTACTGCAACAAAAATTTCCCGCGCTTCACCATGTGCTGCAGCCAGGCCTGTCGCCGCTCCATGTGCTTGAGGTTGCCCGTCAACCCCATGCCCTCGGCGACCGTGATGGCCGACTTGTTGTCCACCCTGAGGACAGTCGGCTTCCCAGCGTCCAGCCGCTGGAACTCCGCAAGGAGGAAGCGCAGGCGACGTCCCTCCTTGCCGGCTTCGACGGCCGCCACGTACTCCGACTCGGTCGATGACAGCGTCGCGCACTTGATGCGCTGGCTCGACCAGGAGACCGCGGCCCCTCCGTAGACGAACACGTAGCCGCCCGTGCTCATCCGGTTCTGCTTGTCGCCGGCGTCGTCGGCGTCCACGTAGCCAACCAACTCCAGTGACTCCGGACCACCGCCGAACTCCAGGGCGGTGTCTCGCGTGTTGGCGAGGTAGGCGAGGCAGCGGTCGACCTCGCGCCAGTGCTGGTCGCTCCTCACCGTGAGGCCGCTCCCCAGCTTGCTGCAGGCGAAGGCAATGTTCGGCCGCGTCGTCGCCGCCACGAACTGCAGCGAGCCGACCTTCTGCCG